TCATCCTCTCTGGGGCGGGGTGGGGGGGGGGTCACTTCTTGCTTTTGTCTGTCTCTCTGTCTCTTTTTGTCTCTCTGGTTAGTGCATATGCCCTATAGCAAACAAACAAACAAACAAACAAAAAACTCTCTCTCAAAAAAAACAATCTGAAAGCATTGAGGGGAGTCTCCCAAGAGTTTCTGAGACAGTCATAAAGTGGAAAGTCAATTTTTGACCAATGGGAAATTGAGTCATGGAGAAGAGATGGCCTCTGAGGAGTGGACACCTCTGTCTGGCAATGTCCCACCACGGGGCCATCTTTACTTCTTGTGGGCTACCTGCAAACCCCACAACTGGCTCGATGGTGCTTTAGAATTTTTTGTCCTTTTACTCTATGACTCGGGTCCGACAGTAAATGCAGTAGACTTGGTGCGTCTCTTGAAACTACTCAGCTCCACCTCAGAAGCAGTCATGATGAGTGGCTTTGTCCACCCTCCCCTAAATATAGATAGAGCTAAAATCTAAATTTCATCTAATCGTCACATCCTGAAATATCATTCTTTACATTTTTTAAACCTTTCTTAGAGCCTGTGGACCATATAAAACAGGCCACAGCTTGCTACTCGGGGCTGAGTGGTATTAAACAAGCACACACTCTTTGATAAAACAATCCCAGAACCTTCCAGAGCCGTGTGTAGGCGACTGTCACATGACAGCAGTTAGACCGGTGGTCTTCCAAAGCCAAGACAGTGGGTTACGTCCTCATTCTCACATTCCAAGTCCCAGCACGGTGACCAGTGTGAAGAAAACCCTTCATATAAATGTTTGCTGAATTAAGTGAGATGAATACAAGGCACTAAGCAGAGGACGTCACAGGGAGCGGACACCCCGATCTGTTGGCTGGGTGGGAGGTCGTCTCGCTCCCCTCTGGCTGGCACCCTGTTACACCTTCCTCTAGCCTTCTGCCTGGGGTCAAGGCTGCGGAGGTGCTATAGTGCAGGTGCGGCGTGGGCAGCGGGCGGGGTGCCACGCCCCAGGGGCCTTACCACCGTCTGGAAGCAGGAGTGCAGCTGCGTCAGGAACGGCGGCTTGTCCAGCAGGGCCAGCACCCGCTTCTCCACCATGGTGCACTCCACGTCGTCATCCTGAATCACCACGTCCTTCTTCAGGATTTTGATCGCATACAGTTCCTCGGTCCCCTTCCTGTCAGCGAGCATCACCTGAAGATAGACCAAGACCAGCCTCAGCCCTTCTGGGCACAGGCCTAGTCTGGGCGGTAGGAGAGTGGGGGACTGGGCCAGGTGATGGGCTAGCGACGGTGGATGCAAAATTGTACATGTGTGACTGGAAAATATTAATATGCTGTGTGTGCCGATTGTGAAATACTGCACAGCACCACTGAAACGGAAAATTAAATCGAAGGGCATCTTTCAATAATTATTTTATTATTATCATTATTGCTATTTTAGAGGTTTTTGCCTTAGGGTGCTTATGTTTACTGGAGAGAGACAGAGACAGTGAAAGGGAAAGTGAGAAATCACCCAGGGGGAATGGCCACACCACAATCCCTTCTCTTCCACTTTCCTCCTGGGATCATGCCTGGTGTGAGTTTCAAACCACTAGGCCTAGGACTTGAACCATGGTCAGCCATGTAGGAGTCCAGTAATGTAACCATTACACCATCTGCTGGCCTCATAATCATTATTTTTTTCAATTTGTCAGAGAGCACGTGTGCTTACCAGAGAGAGAGAGAAGGAAAGTGAGAATGTAAGCGGCCAGGTCCAGGACTCGAACCATGGTTGGCCATGTAGGAGTCCAGTACCTTAACCACCATGCCACCTCCTGGCCTCCTGTAAGACGTCTTAAATGAACAAGGTACCAAGAGATGTGAGGTCAAGTGGTTACAGTCATGTTAGGCTAATCATTAAACTCCTTGAGCAATGAAAGGAAACCAGGTTCCTAAGAATAGCTGACTACGTAAGATACAAATTCCCTCACAGGCAGTGAGATGTTACGAGGACCTCTTGGTTAGGAAATGCTGACTGGGAAGGAATCCTAGCCAATGTACGTCAGCCGACGGAACCTTGTGAAAGGCAGCTTTTGGAACCCTCACTTCTCTCCCCCTTTTTTTCCTTTACTAAAAAAATAACCCTCACGTGGCAGCCATTTGGGGCACTGCAATGGTTTCCTCGAGTCTCTGTTGCCCAGTGTCCATCCTCAGGCTTTGGCTTGAATAGACTTTTGCTTGCACAACACGTTTGGGTCACAGCCTTACGTAATGCTGACAGCACAAACCGAATCTGCCCAGCTTTTGTATAGCTTCTGACCTGTCGAGACTCAACTCACAGTGCTATTTTGGCTGCTGAAAGGAATGCTCCACATTTTCTACATCAGAACTAGTCTGAAATCATGCACGTTTTCCAGGAACATCCTTAGAGTAAAATGTGACTGACCTGTATAATCTCAAAATTCAGGAGGCAGGATCAAAAAATTAGTTCCTGAATTTATTATGAGAGTTGGGGGTTACAAAAGCCAAATGAAAATATATCGGCTGATTATAGAAGACCCCATTTAAATCTCTCTCTTAAAAATATTTCTTTAATGTATTACTATTTTTAATTTGCTAGAAGGCTCATTGCTCATCAGAGAGAGAAGGAACGTAAGAAAGCAAGCTGCCAGGTCTAGGACTCAAACCATAGTCAGCCATGTGGGAGTCTAGCACCTTAACCACCACGCCACCTGCTGGCCCCATTTTACTGTCTCTTAACAATTACATTTGCTTATTACTACACATCACCATTTAATTTTTAGTCATGAAAATGATTCACTCAACCAACATTCTGGACCACACAGCAGACCTGTTGTGGCACTTGAGATACACCTGTTTTTAGTGAGACAAAGCAAGGAACAGCGAAGGGGTGTGTACACAGGACAGGGAAACCCAAGGACAGTTTTGAAACCCTCAGGGAGAATAAAATCGTCCCAACATCCCCTGCAGAAGCCCCTCCACTTCACAGAGCAGCCTCTCCTTACCTTTCCAAAACTCCCCTTCCCCAGCACCATAAGGAAATTGAAGTCGGTGAGTTTCACTCGGTCCAGGTTGTTGGAAGGCTGTTTCCGGTCTTCTGAAGGGCTGATGACTTTGTTGCCAGCCGGGCCAAGCTTGGCTTTCTAAGCGACAAACAGGCATAAAAAGCAACCGGTCATTTTTTCAGAGAAAAAGTGGCAGAACGTTGATGTTGCAATTGAGCTTCTTACTCACTGGGACGTTGGAGGTGGGATGGGTGGGAAAAGGAATTTGAGGTGAGGACAGAATACCTGACCATATATCAGCGGTCATGCTCACCCAAGGGGGCAGAGTTTGCGAAGCAGCAAAAATTTGCCCATACCCAGCATGAGGCTATATAGTTACCCGGGATCATGTCATGGGACAGCCACGGGCAGGTGGATGCTAAGTTGATTTCTTGGGGAACGGAGTGCTCTGGGACTCTAATAAAAGAAAGAAACTGTGCTGCTGATTTTATTTGTAGATTTTCCAATTTAATCTGCATAAGGACCAATAGACGGCATAGTAGTTATATCACTGGACTCCCACGTCGTCAACTATGGGTTCAAATCCTCGATCTGGTGACTTGAAACTCACACCAGGTGTGTGTGCATGTGTGCCCAAAATTCCAAGAGGAGAATGAAGGAGAAGAAACTGCAGCATGGCCATTCTCCCTGGGGGGTGATTTCTTGCTTTCTGTCTCTCTGTCTCTCCAGCAAGCACAAGCTCTCTGTAGCAAAAATCTCTTTAAAAAAATAATAATCTGCATAAAGGAAACTTGTATCTATGCAGAAAAGATAAAGTATCCTTTGGGGAGGAACTGCTGAAATGGCAAACTGTGGGATGATTCATCGCGACTGTCTGTGCACAGTAAGAACATGGTTTTTTCCCTTTGTTTGTTTTAAAGTCCAGTTGAACTCCTGAAAAGAAATGGTGACTCACACAAGAGAATCAGGTTTCACGTGAAATACACAGTGTACCCTTTGAACCTGAAGGACACCTGGTCAGTGACCTGTGACCTACCAAAAGGAACTTCTGTAAACTATACTCAGCCTTGGATTAGGGTGGCCCGGGTATCTTCAAGTATCTGTCCCCACCCAGGGGGGCATTTCCTGTTTTTCCCATAGAACAGCCCTGAGCCTTATCTACCCTGCCACCTGCAGGCTATGCCGCAGGTCAGGCATGCTTGCTGATGATTGAGTTTTGAAAGCCCTGCAGGGAGCCAGGTCCTCATCCCTGTCTCAGGGAGCTGAAGTCCCAGCTCAAAGATGAACAAGAGGGCTCAGCAGAAAAGGAAGGCAATGGATCCCAAGGGAACGTTCTGACAGCGAGGAAAGGAGTCCCAGGAGAAGCAGGAGCAGCTGAGGGTGGGTGCAGGGCTGCCTACCAACAGCAACAGCCTCTGCATCTTGAACATCTGCCCGACAATGAGGACGCGGGCTGCAGACGCGACTGACAGGGCCCGAGTTCTGGGGGGTGGCTGCCCCACCACTGCCACAGCCCTCAGCCTAAGAGCACAGACTTGCCTTGGTTGTATTTGTAATGAGAGGCGCATCCTCCTCCCCAGTGCAGCAGACCCAAGTGTGGCTCTGGGGCAGCTTCTAGGCCTCCACTCCGCCAGCTCCTTCGTGGGTACCAAGAAGACGGCGACGGAGGTAAGGCAGGCACTCGGGGCTTTGCTGTGCCCCCAGCATTGGTAAGACTGTTCTTGACACTAGGGGAAAACACGGGCTATGTACCCCTTTTCCATAGCAACAGAGAAGAACTGTGAGAAAAGATCCAGACTCCCTCCTTGGGTGTTAGTCCTTCATCCCGCAGTCACTGAGAGCACCGCCTTGTGCCTGGTCCCCCTGGGATTCCTGAGCTGATGGAGCCCATCAGCTGTCCCAGATCCCTGACCTGAACACAGTCCTTGGCTCGGGTATGCCCAACACTGTGGTTGAATGAACAGGACAACGAAGGCTGAGTGTGCCCATCAGACGCAGAGATGCCACCCTGCTGGGTGACGTGTTTCTCTGTTGAAAATGACTCAGTTGAATAGGGATGGAATCTCACGGCTGGAGTATCTGCTCTGGGGAACCGAGCACACCCGGTCAGGCACATACGCAGACTCAGGGCAGAGGTGGCCCTGACAGTTTCACTTCAAGGCTGAGTACTGTGTTTGGCTGTGCTTCACCCCGGTCAGTGAGTGGTGGGACTCGTAAGAACATGGGGCCACTGGAGATGCTGACCGTCCATAAAGGAGAAAGAGAGCCTTCCAAGTACATGAACTGGCCTCACGACAGAGGAATTAAAAACGATGATTTTATTTATAAGGTTTTGCCATTGAGTGTGTGTGCTCGCTGGAGAGAGCGAGCGAGAGGGAGAGTGAGAAGTCACCCCAGGGAGAATGGTCATGACACAATCCCTTCTCTTGAGATTTTGGGCACGTGTGCACACACACCTGACATGATTTTTAAGCTGCCAGATCTGGGACAAGAACCAGCCATGTGGGATCCAGCACCTTAACCACTACTGCCACCTGCTGGGCCCGACAGAAGGAATTTTAAGACTTGTGAGAAAGAGCTCGGGCTCCCTCAACCAGGGGTCCCTCAATGGCAGGCCCAGTCCGAGGCTCCAGATGATTGTCCCAGGAGTGGCTCCAGGTTGAGAAACTTTCTGATCTACATCTAAATTGAAAGACTATCTAGGAAGTCCATGGTGGAGACGAAACTGCCAACTATGCTACTGTTTTCTGCCCTCCTTACTTAGAAACTTACCAACAAGGCACAAAGAGATTGGCTCTATTTTCTCAGGGACTTCACGATAACATCTGAACGAACTCACACGCAACCGACTCGTTGATCTGAGGTGCTGGGTCCGGCTGAAAGTCATTTTCACCTGGTGAAGGAGCTAGTCACAGTCCCAGCGCGGCTCCAGCCGGCCGCTGCCTCATCTGGCATTCCCAAGCAGGAGCAGGCACCGTTCCTTCCTCCTCCACTGCTCCAGCACCACAGACACGGATACGGCAGCCCCAAGCATGGCCTCCAGGCAGATATGGGGCTTCTAATGCATGAGGGGACCATTGCCTCCACACTGTGACAACGGCTTTGTGAGTTTGGTACGCTCACCCTAGTCTAGTTAGAGATACTTGGGGCCGGCAGGTGGTGGTGGTGGTGAAGGTGCCGGACTCACACATGGCCAAGCATGGTTCAAGTCTCAGACCTGGCAGCTTGCTTTCTTATTTCCCTTTCTCTCTCTCTGGTCAAATTTAAAAAAGGAGGAGGAGGAGGAGGAGGAGGAGGAGGAGGAGGAGATACGGTCCATGGTCCATGGTAAGGCTGAAAGGATGTGAAGACAGACACGTTGTTGCATCCCAGAGCTCTGGAGCTCAACTGCAGTATGGCCCTGGGTGCAGGTGTGAAGCCAGTCCAGAGGTTTGGGAGGAATGTCAACAAAGAACAGTCCAGTTCCCAGGAGTCTGGACAGAGAACAGCTGGCTCCCTGCCCAGGCAGATTCTTCTTAGCCCAGCTGAGTCGTCCATGGCTGGTAGAACAGTTGACTAGCTGGGAGGGAGACGGATGGGCCAGGCTGTGGGGTCCTGAGTAGTCAGGCTGGCCGCCCTAGCTGTATGCACGTCAGTGAGCAGGCTCCTGGGTGGCCTGGCCCAGAGGCTGAGAACAGGTTTACCCTGGATAAGGGTGGCCTGGGCGTCTTCCTGTATCTGTTCCCACCCAGGTGGCATTTCCCCATTTTTCCTATAGAACAGTCCTGAGCCGTCTCCACCCTGCCACCTGCAGGCCGTGCTGCAGAGGGACAGGCTCCACCTTGGCACAAAGGCGGTTCCCCACTGGGCCTCTCCGCCCTCTCCTTGGGCTTTCTCTCAGCGCTGTGACCACCTGACCACAAGTCCACAAGGGCAGAGGCTGTGTTGTTTTACCCTCGAAATCCAGCTCAAACATCCCTCTCCATCCTCCCGGTGCTTCTGCCCCAGCAGATGCTGTCGGCAGTCGCCCAGACCCGGGCTTTCAGCCCTGCACACCTGAGAACACCTGAGGCTGTCGAGGGTCTCCTCCAGTAACTCCGGCAGAGTAAGCCTGAGTGCCCGAGTGACTGCCCCCTTGACCGACTGTGGTCTTTTGCCCTCAGCCAGGGAGAATGATCCAGGCTGCCCTCAGCTCCCAGCAGGGCTGGGCCCTAGCTCCCACAGGGGTGACCATCTGGCGGCTCCCCACCAGTGTCTTCAGGTCTCTTCTGATGAACTTGTTCTCAAAATCTGGCTGCGTCGGCTTCTGGTAAACCCAACCACATGTGCCTGCTTCCTGGATTTACTCATCTGTCCTCACTAGACTGAGAGATCCTAGGAGGAAAGATGACGTCTCACTCTACCTTCGTATCCGTAGACCAGGTACTGCACCAGGAGCAAAATCAGAGCTCAGGGACCAGCAGTTGGCATAATGAATAGGTCACTGGACTCCCATATAGTCAATTGCGGTTCAAGTCCCGGACCCAGCGGCTTAAACTCACGCCAGGTGCATGTGCGTGCGTGTCCAAGATCCTGAGAGGAGAATGGAGGAGAAGGGATTGCGGAGTGGCCATCCTCCCTGGGGGGGATTTCTGGCCACTTTCTGTCTCTCTGTCTCTGTCTTTCTGGCAAGCATACGTGCTCTATAGCAAAAATGTCTCTCTCAAAACACACACACACACACACACAATAAGAACAAACATACAGAGCTCACCGAATAGCCCTCTGTACTTGCTGGCTCACGTACTCACTCGCTCGCTCTCTCACATGGGCGTTCATTAAGCACTACACTTGGCTGAATTCGCAGAGGCCAACTTGTAGCTGATACTAGTTGCCTGATGACAAACTTAAATGCAGAACGGCAGCAGTTGTCACAGGGTAGGCTGCTGGAGAGAGTCACCTCTGGGCTCTAAGCCTCTGGGTGTTTGTGTACTGGGTTGTTGGAAAAGTCAACACATTTTTGCACAGAAAAACACGTTATGACTTTTCTGATGACCCAGTGGAATCCGACCCAATAGAACTCTTCCTCAAGCCATCATCGGGTCCACTGGGGCAGTGACAAAGAAGGACTGGGAGGGCCTTCTTATCTTTCAGTGCCATGCTGGACAGGCTAGCCAGGC